AAAATGTCGACTCCGCCATTTGACGAGATATTTACTTACACAGAAACTACTTTTATGGAATTATCGCGTTTACACATTAAATTCTCGATGTTTATATCACTTTGCAGCGTTTTATAGACAGGGTATAACTAAATTAAAAATAAATTTTACAAAAGAAACCTTGAAGTCCGTTTTTTGTACCTGTAACTAAAAAATATTGTTAATACCTATACAATTTGAGGATTACCATCGATTTCTCTGGGTTTCCTTCATCACATCAGGGTTTCCTTATCCCATGATACCATTAGCAACCTTCGGATATCTCATCATAAACGACGAAGTTATCCGCGAACACACGTACATACAAACTTTCGCCTTTATAATAATAGTAAGGACTTTCAGGACTTCCCTTCGTATCTCCGTAGCCCAAAATCCAATACCAATGAAATTAACATGGGACCACGTGGGAAGCACCAGCTTTCAAATAAAAAAAGAATCATCTAAACCGGTTCTCTCAGTCGAAAGTTCTGAGGTAGCAAACATGTGTCGACAAAAAAATGTGTCGAACTGACAACCTCCTCCGTTTTTTAAGTCGGTTGAAAACAAAAAGATATTGTAGGTGTTTGCGGCTCGATCTCGCGAGACAATGTACGGACGCATGATATTTTGAGGCTTGAGTGGAGAATCTTCTATGTTTTTTAAGCAAGACTTTTAAAACTGATCTCTGAGCTCGCTCTAGCTCAATCATAGTAGAAATATTAGACCCACCCCAAGAATCAATGCAGTGTGTGATTGTTGATTCACACAGCGCGGTGTACACCTCTGAATGTCTGAATGTCTGCAATATCACGTAGGCGGTATATTACATGGGTCAATTTACGTACTCTGCTAGCTATTGCTGTTATGTGCGCTTTGAAGGATAGTTTGTAATGATTTATAAATTATTTATTTTAATTCCGTCTATGTTGCTTCGGTCGGTTGTTTATCAAAGTCATAAGGGGACGTTCAAGTGTAAAACTTTTTTGAAGCGGAGATAATATTATGAATCAAACGCAAAAATTGCAAGACAACGTGGAAAATGAATTGTATTATCTATTTCAATGATTTTCAAAAATCCATACAAATAATAAAAATGTAACTGATCGTTGTCTGTACATGGAAGATATTTCAGAAAAACTATTATTGGGGGCTTTAATCAACGCAGTAGAACCTAAAACAATGATTTTTAAAATTTTTGTCTGTTTATCTGTGCGTTTGTGCGCGCTAATCTCAGAAACGGCTTGACAGATTTGTGCTTTCTTTTTTGCAACTTTCACTAATGCATTGTAGTAAGCTTTGTTTGTAATTAAATCCATTCATAAATAAAAAAAAGCTATATCAAAATTTGCGTATTACGAGCGAATGACTTTCGGAACAAATCCCGTTGAAATTTGAACGCTTGTTTTTGAAGCAAAAAAAAAATATATATATTTCAAAGATGTGTGAAGTCCATCAATCCGCAGTGGGGCCGTGTGGTGGACTATGCCCTGATACCCTCTGTATAGAGGAGGCCTTTGCCCAGAAGTCGGACATGTATAGGCTGTTACTTAACTTTTTTTTTGAAGCAATGAAGCAAGTTACGCTCCCGGAGTGCCTTCTTGTCGAATTATTGTTTTGAACTGCGTTTAGCGAGAATTAGACGATCAGAACAACAGCTTTCTTTTCGAAATGATTTAAGTGTGTGCATATTATTAAGTTTCGAACCTGTATTAGTATATCAACTAGTTATAAAATATTTTAGGTTACATAAAATCGCTAGGATTCCCAAGGAGGGTTGACGTCGGGCAGACGGCCGGTCATAAAATAAAGTCAATAACTGAAATAAAACGTGGTTCCGGAAAATAAATGATGGACAAGTTGTGCCGACCCCACCTAGGGTGAGATAAAGGCAGGAGAAAGATGGAGATCGAATGCCATAAATTTTTAGTAGACTAGTGCATACCTTTTCCGAAACGAAGGAATGTTCGTTCACGATTTGCTAAACTAATTATCTCGGCTTGGACATCTTTGCAATTGGCCATCACCCAAGCTGGGATTCTTTCAGAAGAATAGAATTTAAAAAAAAAGAAAACTGATAATCAAAACTAACAGTAAAAAAGTAAAGTAAAATAACAGCCTATATATGTCCCACTGCTGGGCAAAGGCCTCCTCTATACAGAGAGTATTAGGGCATAGTCCACCACGCGGCCCCACTGCGGATTGGCGGACTTCACATATCTACGAAATATATATATTTTTTGTTAATATTTCGCAAATATGCAGGTTTCCTCACGATGTTTTTCTTCACCGCGGAGCACGTGATAAGTCAGCACTTAAAGTTAAAAACTGCATTGGTGCCGGCACCGGGGATCGAACTCATGTTGCTCGAGTATATTGAATTAAAGGCGAGCGCCCGGACACTGAGCTATCACAAAACTAACAGTATGTAAATTTATCTACTAAAAATATGTTATCAATGTATTCTGCAAGAAAAGAAAGGCGTTTTTTATTTTTTTCGATGACTCCGTGGTGCAGGCGCCGAGGTATTATTCGCTTCGGCGCCGGGGGTCGTGGGTTCGATTCCCTCAGGAGAAAACTGTGAGCCATGGATAATTGTTTCGGATCAGGGTGTTTGTTAATGTTATAATTAAGTTTAACGTCCTTGTAAATACAGGATAATATAATCCTACCGTAAGGACAATGTTTTTAAAAAAATAAATAAACTGTTTTTTTTTCAGTAATCACGGCTTTACAGACATCAAGTACTAAATCGCTCTTCACGGGAAGATCGCGTCATTCTTTGCTTTGGTCTCACACCGGCTTACGTGTATTGCGGGGAATCCCACAATCTCATCCCACCGACGGCGACGTAAAGTGAGGTTATACTTTTCATTTCTTCTGTTGATTGCAATCACTACAACTACCTCTTAAACTCTCATTGTCGAGATCTTTTGTTTCTTTATGTGAGTAGTGGCAAGCGAGCTGGTTTTTCTGTTTTGCCTTTCAATATATATGGAAATGTAATATATATGTAAGTAGAGATATCAATTATTTTAATAAGAATACTGATGTTCATAATGTAAAAACTAGGGACTAATACAACCTTGTAATTGTAACGCAAGTTACTACACTCCATAGAGTAAGTAACTCGTTCATGGGGCGGTGTACACGCTTCTACAACAAAATCAAAAGTAAATGCGCGAAGCCTGCCTATCAACAGGTTTAAGAAATGTATTAAAGAAAAACATTATAAAAAGGGTTATTATCATATAAATGAATACATTGATGACAATAACCCCTGGTAATGAGTTGATCGGCCACAAGCTATTTCTGAAAGAAAAAAAATCAGTTGTTTTTAAGGAAAACAATGACAAAAATGAGGATATTTACGGAGTATCTTTCGCCTGTTTCTTCTCCGTTAGAGGAACCTAATTACGAAACGGTGGACGTTTAAAAAAAATGACTATCGATGTTTAATGTAGTACGTTTGATTAAATGTACGTTTCTTACGTCGATGAATAAAATGATTTTGATTTTGATTTTGTTTGTCAAGGTCTGTCAGGTGAAAGCCACCTCTTACATATTTTTTGAAGTGAAAACTTCTTAAGGGCGCGTTAACAGGGCCGGATTTATGGGAGGGCAACCGGGAAAACATTCCCGGGGCCTCTACAAACGAGGAGACCCCACAATAGACTACGGAAAAAACAAATTCAAATTCAGACTAATAAACAATAGTAAACAACTATTCCTTTCATATTTTTTTCGCGTTTTACTTTTACCTAACAGAAATCAATAGAAAATAATTTGGGACCAAGGGACCTCCACTCCTTTGTTGCCCCGAGGCCTCCAGACCTCTAAATCTGGCCCTGCGCGTTGAGCACTTTTTGGGCGAACAAAAATCGTAGAACTCGCGTCATCGTCACCGAACGTTTTCCATGAGCTGTTTTTAAAAAAGGAATACGCAACAATATATTTGTAGTTACAGATATGACATTAAATACTGTTATTGTTCGGTGTGCCTATAAGATATGTAGAATTAAATATTATGCAATTTTAGTTTTGATATTGCTTTATGTTTTCACTTGTGTCGGCAGTATGAGACTGCCAATGATTGTATTTATGTGAAAAGTTGACATGCGAGAAGCCGCTTCACCTGATGTTAAGCGCCAGCCGGCCATCAGCATCTACAGACCCTGAGGGATTTAGATGCATTGACAACTTGAAGTTGTGATTGTGATTTGTGAGTAAGACTTTCAATTCGCGCCGTTCGGGCAAAGGAAGAAGCATCTTTAATTTCTCGTGGATATTGCTGATTTAATTATTAAAAATTTTACAGTAACAACGAGGTAACCGTATTACGCTGCTTTTATGTGGCAACAAATGCGTTATTTTTTACAAAAGGAAACTTCAATGAATGTTTTTGATGACTCCGTGGCGCAGTTGCAAAATTATTGGCTTCGGCATAGGTGGTCGTCGGTTCGATTCCCACACGGGACAACTATTTGTGTGACCCACAGATAGTTGTTTCGCTTCTGGGTGTTTGTCCGTGTGAAATTTATGTTTGTAAACCTTATCTTTTTCCTTAAACCTTATCCTTATGTCCTTGCAACACAGGATAATATAATTAAGGACAATGTTAAAAAAATTTTTTTCTAACCCTATATGGGTACATTACATTTGTATTAAGAACACATTGTATAATCCCGACAAACACTGAGCCGGAACATATTACTTCGTAGCAATTAAGTTACCTTTATATAAATAACTTATTTGCCTTGAAGCAACAGTGAACAGTGCGACGCCGTCCGGTTTACCTGTCAGACGTTTTTCCCGCGCTTTTCAAGCGATGGATACGCACCTCAAGTGTTCATCGCGTCAATAATAATTGAAGACATATAATAATTTAAAATAATAATAATTATTAACTAAATCGCATAACTATATCCCCTTTGAGAAAAAAATTAGTAGTTCTGTTGAGAAAACAAAATAGTTTTAGTTTTAAAATGAACTTTCTGTGCCAGTTAGTTTTTTTTCTTCTGTGTATTAATGTCGTGGTTTTGCAAGGACCGGGATCCGGACAGAATGGGAACTGTGAGTGTTAACGCTATTTTTTTCAATAATTTAAAGGATGCGATCTTTTTAAAACATATGGGTTCATACACGAAGATTACACACAATTTTAAGCGTGCGTATTTCCTTTTTATTACAATAAATTAAAAATAAATACAGAATTTTATTTACGTGAGCTCCCATTTCAGTGGGGAAAACGACTCAATCAATAAACATAATTAATGTATAAATAAAATTGTTAAATCGTGTAGATGTAAATATATACAAAAAAAAGGTCTACCGTTGTCGCCTTTCTGACATTAAGAATTTTTCCTGTTGAACTATATTTTTTTTGGCAGAACTACGGAAGAGATACGTTATAAGTTAAATGAATAATGCCGCTAAACTGTATTTTTTTTTGTTTTATTTATTTTTTATTATTTCTTTTAATAAGAGGCGTTCCGGCCAGGGCTTGTCATTACTATTAATACATTTTTGCACATTAATGTTTCAATTATTACTCATCTGTGCATTTACTAATATTTGTGTTGTGACAGTAGTGCAATGATATTGAAACGCGCGCCGCGATGAAGCGAGATAACATATTATGGTCTATTGTTTAGAATGTCATTAGCACTAAGACGCTAAAGATGCAAACAGGGTAAATGACTTTAGCCTCTGACCGTTTCTATACGTAAGCCGGCTTCTTTTTAACCGACTTCAAAAGGAGGAGGAAAAAATAATACATGAGGACAAAAAAAATACAGTCGAATTTCTCAATTCGACTGTATTTTTTTTTGTTTGTTACCTAAAAACTTTTGATTGAGTGAACCGATTTTGATGATTCTTTTTTTATTTGAAAGCTGGTGCTTCCCACGTGGTCCCATATTAATTTCATTGGTATTGGATCTTGGGATCCGGAGGTACTTAGAAAACTCCTGAAAAATCAATCAAAGAGCGAAATATTTAAAGTCTGTTTTGTTTTTCGTCAGTAGGAAAATGACCCGTTTTAATTCAATCTTAATGTTTAATTTCGATCACTGGATGTCTTTACGGTTTTGTTTTCGTGATTCAGTTTTTTTCACCCAGATTCTGCAATGTTAAATGACCTTTAGGTACCGGACTAACGAATGCTGTAACCCAAATAAAAAAATAGTAAAAAAAAAGAGTTGAGTGAATTGATAAGCTGTAACGCGGATGAGAAATGGAACATGAATTAATATTTAAACTTGAATACTCAAAACATGAGATTATCTTCAACTTATTTACTCTTATTTACTCTTACTATTTCACAAGGTCCAATAAGACGTGACGTGACCAATATTTTGATTGGTTATCTAACTGTTCGCATATTTAGGCAAATATTTAGTGGCTTGACTTAGGAAATGGCGGGTTGGTGACACCTATCGCCATAGATTTAAAACTTTTTGATAACCCACCCACAGATTATGCGTAACGCACAGTGACAACATAAGCTTTCAAAATGGAATGGAGTATAATCTTTTAGCTTCTCCTATTTAATATAAAAATTATTCAAAAATGATTTATTTACGCGAATATCTTTATAAAATTCGTGCGGTTGTATTCGTTAACGACGTTTCGAATAATTGCTGATGATTATAACTAAGAAATATATGAAAAATATTGATAACTTTAATTTATACAAATACTAATGTATCTCTAATTCTGCAAAATGTTTATACCTCTTTATCATAAGCTTGAGTCTTTAAAGAGTTGATAATGATTCTGTGAATCTACGCAAATACTACGCATTGTTAAAAATATTTTATTTTAAAATAAAAACCAAAACTAAACGCATTGGTATAAGTTTTCATAATAGGTATAAGTTTCTATAACTGGTATAAGTTTTCATTGATAAGATCGTTATGTATGTAACTATAAGTTAGATTATAAATGAAAAAAACAATTAAAAAAAACATGTCGAATTGTAAATCTATATTATTCTTGAATCCACTCGAAGAGACACAATAAATACATACAGACAAAGCAATTTATCGATTAATATAGAATGCAGCATCTTGGCGGTTGCACGAAATGGTAGGCTTGTCCGAATATGTACCGCGACCTCACAGAAGGCGTTGTGAAGTGAACTGAGTGAACAGTGACTCTCGCTATCTGTCTGTCTGTCCGTCTTTCTTTTTATGTGAAAAGTTGCCAAACGAGCAGACCACCTGATGTTAAATGAAAACCGACGCCCATAGACATCTGCTCCACCCGAGGGTTACAGATGCGTTGACAACCTTTTGAAGATTGGGCTCCGGCCTCCTCACTCACCAGACGAAACGCGAAAGTATTATACTTCCACTTTACGCCGGTGCTCTGTGAGGTCTTGGTACTTACCCGGACGAGCCTGCCCATTCGTGCAACAGGCGAGGCCCCTGCGTAGCCCTACCACCGTCTGTCACCAAGCTGTATCTCATGAAATGTAATAGTAAGAAAGTTCAAATTTTCACAAAAGATGTATAACAGAATAGAAAAATATTTAAATAGGGCTCCCATACAACAGACTTTTTTTTGCCGTTTTTATAGATAATGGTACGGAACCAAGCGTGCGCGAGTCCGACTCGCACTTGGCCGGTTTTTTCTTTTCAATTAACGTCGGAAATTAAAACCGTTACACCATGTGAATCCGTAAGTCAATTTACTTGCACAATGACAAACAAATGACGGAATAGGAAGTTATATGAAATCGGTCAATCCAAATTAAATTGAAATCCCGTGTCGCGTGCCTCGACGATGAAAACTGTTAGAAATACGGGCAATACAGCTACTGGAAGGTTTCTTGTATCTTGTATTAACTGATGTTTTTGCTTTCAGTCCCGAGACTATTAAAGCTTCATCGGACGCAGAACCGGTGGGCTAGCCAGAAACCACGGGTTTGGGCCCTCCGCTGTGGGTAGGGCCACGCATGTGCTCATGCGTTCGTTTAACTATGGTGTGTCATCTAAGGGCCATCGAGGTCGTGGTTCGGACCGAAACCCCGATGGCCGTCGACTGTGCAATTAGCTTGGAAGGTTTCTAATCGCTGGATATGATTACATTTGTATTAGGGGAACATGCCTAATACATTTTTTTGTCCATTCAATAATTTCTGTAAGAGCGTTCATTGGTAGCTTTTAAACAATCAAAAAATTAACATCATTTCTAATATATACGGAAATGAGCCAACTAAAATGTCACCACTAACTACGAAAAATCGCGGTCAGTTTTGGATCAAAAATCGATAACTTTTATTTTTATTTATTTGTAAACATTATGTTGTAAAATTTTAATTTTTGCACAAATAAATATAGAGTAGTGTATATGGCTTCAAATGGAATATATTTTAATATGACTTAATTACATACCACAGATTGAAAAATAAAACAAATTCAAAAACGTCAAAAATGGCCATTTTTATATTTTTTAACAATCAATACAAATTAAAAACATAAAATATAAAGTAAAAAAAAGTAGTATTAAATTTTGTGATGAAAATTTCCACCGACGAAGCGGGTCGGTCGAGTGTTCGAAGTATGCACATTGGCAATGAACTACTCCAATATATTATCGTTTAAATATCAAGACAAGTAAATTTTTAAAGGTTATTAATTTTTATATACACTTTCGACGAAACAGAAAATTGTAGAAAAATAGACGGATTGTTTTTCGGCGCGGCCTGGGGATCCGAACGTACGTCCTCTGGGATATGCGCCCAAGAATCTAGCCACAGGTTAAAATCCTCGTAGCGACACAAAAACTTTTCGTCCATTTTTTAGGGTTCCGTACCCGAAGGATAAAACGGGACCCTATTACTAAGACTCCGCTGTCTGTCTGTCCTTCTGCCACTAGGCTGTATTTCATGAACCGTGATAGTTAGACAGTTGAAATTTGGCGGGTTTTTTTTTTTCAAAAAATTTGTAAAAGTCAAGTTAAATAATTCGTGGATACATATCCCTCAAATTAAATATTTGTATCTAAATCATGTTCCATGTAATTGATGGCACGTTACTTCTTTAGTCAAGTGCGCGTTGTAATGTCGTTTTACATTTCAATTAAATTTATATTATTCAAGTTACAATATAATTATCACTACACAAGATGACGTTAGATAATTGTGGTAGAGCCCTGTCAGGAGAAATAATGGATATTACAGGAAACAAAAGCGGAAAATCAAGTATTGAACAATGAAACAAACATGACGGACGGCTGCAATGCATATTTCCAAAGGCAAATAAGGCCAATGAAAATGACCATATCTGTAATGACAAGCTATCGGAAAGTATTATTTATCTGTGGCCGATTGAAGGAGTAATAAATAATATGTTCCTACCAGTGACATACAAGGTTTTGCATTCTTTTGTTTTTTAAAAAAATATTTTTACTTCGTCAATGTTTATAGCAGGAAAGAGGTCGATGGATTTTTAACCGTTCATGAGAAATATCATAATAAAACAAATAAAAATAAATAACATAATAACACCAATTGGTGTTATTTGAGGGTCTCAACTTGAGATTGCAAATCTGTAGACCGCTTTTTCTTTCCATATCATATTCGTATATTATCTGTCACACTTATTATACATATATATCATCTAATGTAAAGTTTTTTGTAAGCCGTGAAAGGATGTGTGAAAATGAGTCTTGCTCTGCACTTGCAAATCCCCTGGATGCTGCTAATTTTATACTTAAACTAGCGACCCGCCCCGGCTTCGCAGGGGTGCAATGTATTATACATATAAACCTTCCCTCTTGAATCACTCTATCTAGTAAAAAATTGTTAAAGTAAAAATGACAAATGTTGACAATAATATTTATACGATACTAACGTCACTCAATGGTGTTGCTTTTCCGAACCCCTCCACTAACATTTAAACTTTATGGTATTGTATTAAAGTTCAATTTGACTTTTAAGTATTATTACGAATCTTTTGTATGGGAATATAGAAAAGTGTTTAAATTTTTTTTCCGTAAGAACCATTCTCGTGCTTTCAGGCATATTATAAAAAAATAATTAGCAAAATCGCTTCAGCTGCTCTAGA